AGAAAGCAGAGAACGGGTTAACTCAACACTGCAGCTAGCAAGCTCAGTCCCAAGATAAGAAGCTGACTCCAGCCCAAGGCCAGCTGTTACCTACCAAGACAGAAGGGGGGGGGTCACCCCCCCCCCCCCCAGCCCAGAGAAAGGAAAGTTGCTGAACAAAATGCAGGGGCTAGGAAAAGGAGCAAAACGGCAAAGGCCAGCCAGGAACAAATAGAACTGTCTCATGGCCCTGAAACCAGTGTTTTGGGGAAAGTTGAAGAGACCACAGAAAGCCGGTTTGGACTGGCACGAAGAGCACCAGGAGCAGAGTTCCCTGAACGAACCGCCCCCTCCCCGCCCAAGGAGCCCAGGACTTAATACTCTCCCGAAAGGTGAAGCAACTCAGAGAGCACAGCAGATCCTTGGACAGCCTGGGCCCAGGACAGCACTCCCATCCACCTTTCCCCCTCACCCCCCTTCTTCTGACGTTACACCCAGACTTGGCCAGTCTGGGTAGTGCGGGTGTGCGTATGAAAGTGGGTTAGGGCTTGGGGCATTAATGCTTTCTTTCTTCCCCTGAGTGACATGGGAGCGTTCCCAGCACTCTCAGCTGTTATTTTATTATTTTATCAATAAAGCTTTAAAATTTAGACACTTGGTGTGCCTTGTCATCTCCTCCCCAAAAAAGATCCTGTGGCCTCAGCCTGATCAACTATGGCCTTGGGCAGATTGGTAATGAAAACCTGTCACAACAGGACTGGTAAATAGGATTAGTAACAGTTGTGCAGGAGGGATATCAGATAAATCTGGAAATTCTGTTAGACAGCGGCTGAAAGATTCCCTAATATGGGAGAACAAATGAAGCCCTCTTATATTACTGCTTGCCAGGATACTGCCACACTGCCCTTACTGATAGGGTATCAGGGCAGTTGACTACACCGGTCTCTTCCTCCCCCAGCCCAGCTGCTCAATGCTCACTTGGATCCAGGCCAAGCCTATGCTACAAAGGTTGGTTGACTCAAGTTATGTCAGCATACAGCATCTGTGCATCAGAGCTACACATTCTCACCATGAGTGCCTGTGTTGATGCAGAATGTGTCGCACCATGTGTAGGTATCTTAGTAGACCCCATGCTACTTTCCAGCTCACTGCTGTGTGAGATACCGGCAATTCACCAGTTCTCGCCTTGCCACTTTCTCCATCCCATACTACTTGTGCCTTTTTAAAAACACCACAGCCCCTCAGACCGCTTTTCAGACTCTACGAGATCTCTGACAGAAGCAGAGACCCTGCGCAGCTCGGCACAATTCTCACAAGCGTTACTAATACAGGAGGTACAATTTGCCAGTGTTATGAAGGTCCAAATC